GCAGTAATTATAGTACTAATACAGAGCAGTAATTATAGTACTAATACAGAGCAGTAATTATAGTACTAATACAGAGCAGTAATTATAGTACTAATACAGAGCAGTACTTATAGTACTAATACAGAGCAGTACTTATAGTACTACAGAGCAGTAATTATATTACTAATACAGAGCAGTAATCAAACATATTTCAAGCTTATCACAGTTGTAGTCTAGTTTAATTAATATGAATACAAAATGTTTGAAGGAAACACAAACACTTTTACGAGCTGAAATGTGTTGTTTAAGACACTTTGAATGCAGAATCCTGTCTGTTGTTTATGTTTTTGCGACTTCAGCAGACTTCTCATATTGAGCTTTGTGCAACGCGTTGATGTGGAGACTTATATAAAAACCCTTCATGGAGGACAGCGTCTCTAAGCAGACTGAACAGAGTTTGTCTTGAAAATCTGTGAACAGACTGTCTATCTCATTGACGGGCCTGACAGAATTCAAACGTGGGCCAGAGTTAGCCTGCAGGCCGCCAGTTGCACATCACCAATTTCACTAACAGGGACCACATGACGAAACAAGTTTAAGGATTTTATTAAAGGAAGGGGTCGAAGGGACGGATGGATGGGTGTGGGGGGGCATGATGGTGTGGAGGAGCCTATGTTCAGTAAAGTGGGGGGGTGAAAGAGCCTGGCCAAGGTGAAATGAGTTTATGTAGAACCTGAGGGATTACAGGAGAGGAGGAGGGTCCTGCTCCCAAACCTAAGCTAAATGTTAGCATCACTGAGGTATTTTTCAGAACCAAATAAAAATAAATCAGCTGTGATGGTTTCCTCCAGTGACCTCATCAGATGATAAATATTTTTTTCTCCATCAGCTCGGTTAAATAAAAAAAAACAACATTCTGAAGAAGAGTTTTTATCGGGGTGTGCAGAGTGAGCCATTATAAACTGTAATGTTGTTAAAAATACCAACAGACAGCTTTAAGGGCCACACAGGCAGTGAAGATCTGAACAAAACGTTTAATCCTGTAGTTTAAATTGATTTTTAGGTCCAACACTGTGGCTTCCATCATCACAGCTTCGCAAAGCAGAAAAGATAAATATTTCATCTGTTCCAGGAATAATTATTACAGCTGCTAGGAGAGAGTCCGTAAAAAGACGGAGCAATAAAAATGGCTGTATAAAAATATGTTTTAGTTCTCAGAAACCATCACTGGTCGAATAATCAGAACCAAACGGACCAGTTCTGAGACTTGACTTATTTCTGGGACCAGTCCTTCAGGTTTTGGTACTGCTGGGAGAGCAGCTGGAAACGAGCTGACTACAGTTCATCCTGTGGTTACTGTGTGTGACGAATGATCAGATGTATTTTTAAAAAAAACTCATTTTCCATAAAACGCTCACGTGTTTTCAGGTTTAGACTTTCTTTTGTACTTGCTGAACATCGTTATATTTTTATCCATTCAAACATCGAAACGTTCAATTTTATCAGAATTTCTTTGCTGTGACTTTTAGTATTTGTAATTTTTTGGCTTGTTGAATTTTATTTTCATTAAAAACTCATTTGTCTTTTAGATTCCCTCAAAACATAGTTTTTAGTTAAAGGTTTTTATTTGATCTTGTTATGCTCCTTTTAGCTTTTAGATACAACAATGGCTTTTAGACTTTTACTACAGTTTTGCTAATTTTAGCATTTAGCTACTGTTTTGCCACATTTACCTTTTAGATACTGCTTCACAATGTTTAGCTTTTAGCTGCTTTTTTGTCACATTTACCTTTTAGACCGGGGGTGGGAAATCCTGGTCCTGGAGGGCCGCAGCCCTGCATGTTTTACTTGCTGCTCTGCTCCAACACACCTGATTTGAATGAATAAATGATTACCAGGCTTCTTGCAGTATGGAGGACCGAAACTGACATAATTAGAAATAAAATCAGAAATATATAAATGAACCACTAAATAAATACATTTGAAATGCACCAATTAAAATAACCTTTATCTCGTGTTTTTTGTTTGAAATGACTTGAATATTTCTTTTTCCAGGTTAGTATAAATTAGTCTATATATTTTAACACATAATTTAAATTTTACTGTTTTTAACATACATGTTTTTTTGTTTTTCCTTTTACTTCTACATGCATTTGTGTCTCTTAAATGTTTAAACTTAATTATTTTTAATTTTTTCCCACAAGTCTTTTTTATTTCTATGTGTTGCAGGCGTGTGCTGCCTCAGTTTAGCTAAAAGTTTAGTTTAAAACAAAGGCAAGGAGAAAAACTTACCCGCGCTTTTGTTTTTAACTAAACTTTAAACTTTAAGCTAAACTGAGGCAGCACACGCCTGCAGCACATCGAAACAAAAAAGACTTTGGGACAAAACTATAAAAATATTTCAATTTAAACATTTAAGAGACCAGTGTATGTACAAGTAAAAGGGAAAACTGAAAAATATATATTTTTTTAAAAAACAGTCAAATTTGAATTGTTAAAAAAATATCAGTTAAACGAGAATTAAATTACAAAACATGAGGTGAAATTCTTTTTTAATTGAATTGGTGCATTTTATGTGTATTTATTTATTTAGTGGTTCGTTTATATATTTCTGCTTTTATTTATAACTATGTCAGTGTCGGTCCTCCATACTGCAGAACTTGGCAGGTAAATCAATGATGAATCAGGTGTGTTGGAGCCAGGAAAAATGTAAAACATGTAGGGCTGCGGCCCTCGAGGACCAGGATTGCCCACCCCTGTTTTAGACACAGCTTCACTATGTTTAGCTTTTAGCTACTGTTTTGTCATGTTTAACTTTTACATACACCTTCAAATGTTTAGTTTTTAGTTGATGATGTTTATTTCCATTTTTAGCTTCAGATTTGTCAAGTTAAATTTGTACCTTCCGATTTGCTAATTTTAGCCTTTAGCTCGTGTTGTGATGATTTAAGGTTTCAGCTACAGTCTTGGTCATTTTTGCCTGTGACTACTGCTTTGTCCATTTTATTATTATTTTTATTTTACTTTATCAGTTTCTTTCATTTATTTCTGCAAAAAAAATTGATCACTTAGCATGTACCCTAGATCAGTGGTTCCCAAAGTTGGGGTCGGGACCCAAAGTGGGGTCCCGAAACATCAAGATGGGGTCCTGAAAAGATTTTCTGAATTAATGACATTTTTACCTTATTTGTTACAAATGAGTGAGGTTAGAGTATTTAAAATGGATAAATGTAGTATAAAAATATTGTTGCTATACCCATGTTTAGTTGACCTGATACAAATGTTTATCATCCAAAAATAGTTGGTGGCACAGGTCTCTGCTGCTGTTATTTTGTGGGTCAAAACCTGAAAAGTTTGGGAACCACTGCACTTTGGTTCCCAAAGTTGGGCTTGGGACCCAATTATGGGTCATGAAGCACCTTGGATAATCTCCAGAAATCAATTTAAAGGGTAATAAAATAATTGCTGATGTAATATTTTCCCTATAATTATTACAAAAACACAAAATAAGTATAAATAAGTATTTATATTTGTTACAAGCTGTTTAGATTGTCAAAAAGCCTGTGTTTTTAGGGTTATTAATGAAGTTCATGTACTCAGACCAGTAATATTTGGGGTCACAAGTTTTTGCCATGAATATTTTGTGGGTCAGAAGATAAAAAGTTTGAAAACCACTGCCCGAGATTATTGCAGAGAATTAGAAATTCTCAAATCTACTAATTTTTCACCTTTCAGTTCCAGAATAGAAGTCTAGTTGTGGTTTTGTTTTGTTTTTGTTTTGTTTTTTTTACTTTATTTTTTTCTTACAGCACTTAACAGCACTTATCCAGTCTGTTTTATTTATTTATTTATTTATTTATTTATTTATTTATTTTGTTGGTAATTAATCTTCATCCTATCTGGTCGTTCTAAACAACAGCCTCTTTAATTAGCTCTTTTTCTCTCTATAAAAGATGCAGATTGCTTTGTTTGTTTAATTTTTTTTTCTTCGTCAGCAATCATTTCGATGCTTCCTACTGCAGGGAAATTAATGCCAAGCTGTGTCGGAAAATGTGAACGTGCATCGTCTGTCTTGAATGCTTTCTCAAAAAAGTAAACAAATACGGGGTAATTATGGCGCCACAAGTCAATGTGGTAAAGACTCAAACAAATAAACTGGAGCTCACACAAGTGTTGGAACAAGACAAGCTAATCGCTGCCTATTAGGCTGAGCTTTATGAGGATTACACGTAATAAGAGGAGCAGAGACATGAATAATGTGGGATGAGGTTTATCCACGACTCGTATGCTGAGAATTGATCCGAATGTTCGTAAAATCAGCTGTCAAGTTATTTTAAAAAAAGAAATCTATCTTTATTATTAGATGCACCGAAGCTGCTAAATATTTCAGACAGTAAGTTCCAACTTCAAGATTCAGGTCAAATATTGGTGTCTGCATGAGAGCTTAAATAAAATATCCTGCTTCCAAGCTAGACCGATGTCTTTTTAGATTTTTTTGTAGTATTGAATTAATTTTTCTCCTTTTTTTTCCAGTCTGCCCAGATGAATCCCATGACGCAGCTGTACTACAAGAAGGTGAGTCAAATACAATCTTGTTAGCAGCTAACGCTAACTCTTACTCCCAGAAAAACGAACGTCCACCATCTTCCATAAAGAAGTTTTAAACCAAGATAATCTTATGCTGAAAAGGGACAAAGTTCAAACTGAACATTTCGAGACATTTTTTAACTAAACTTAGATTCTGGTTTAAGATTTTAAAAAAATGTGATTGAATCTTTGTAACTACTGTGCTCATGGCCTTCATATTCAGGCGACCTATTCGCCGTACCGAGACCGCATCCCGCTTCAGATCGTCCGAGCTGAAGTGGAGCTGTCTGCAGAGGAGCGGGCATACCTCACTGCTGTAGAGAAAGGTAAACACACACACACACACACACACACACACACACACACACACACACACACATCTGCATCTATCTGTTTTAATCCAGGAGCCGGTCTGTTCTTTCCACATCCACCTGCGTTATGCAGATGCAGTCAGCGGTTAAATGATGCTGAGAGCTGAGCAGCTGGTCAGTCAGACCAGCAGCAGTTCACAGCTGTCATCTCTGCAACATGTTCTTCAACAGACCTGAAATAACTTTCACTTTGTGCTTCTTTCAGCACAAAATAATTTCCAGGTTAGAGGTTAGAATTAGAGGTTAGAATTAGAAGTTAGAGTTGGAGGTTAATGTTGGAGGTTAAACCTGGAGGTATGAGTTAAAGGTTAGAGTTAGAGGTTGGAGTTGGAGGTTAAAGTTAGAGGTTAATGTTAGAGGTTAAACCTGGAGGTAAGAGATAGAGGTAAAAATTAGAGGTTAGAGTTGGAGGTTAGAGTTGGAGGTTAGCGTTGGAGGTTAGCGTTGGAGGTTAGAGTTAGAGGTTAGAGTTAGAGGTTAGAGTT